TTGCCGTGAAATTCTAAACATTTTTGCAACCATGAATGACTCCACTACAATTCTTAACTATTACAGGAAAGGATTTATGAATTATTTATTGGAATGAGGTAATTTATGTGTATACTAATTTCTCTGAAAATAGAAAACACATTTAGTGTTTTCAATTTACATAACTAGGTCCTGTATCCACTAAGAACATAAAATCAAGTGTCCTGTTTCTTCTTTCCCTCTCTTTCCTTCACTCTTCCTTCTGTTTTCTGACTCTTTCTCTGTCTCTTCCTCCCTCTTTCCTTCATGGAAAGTGTCATTTTCTACCAGTAAATGACACTCCACCCAATAGAGCCCACTAACAGTTGTCCACATGGAAGATGAGTGTCTTATTTATGGAAACTTTTATCCTAAGGTGTTCTTGTCTCGATTGGGATGACTAATAGTCCAACTGTTGGCTAAAAGCATCTTAGATAAGAACTGGTTCTCAAATTGATCCTGTGTGTGTGTGTGAGAGAGAGAGAGAGAGAGAGAGAGAGAGAGAGAGAGAGATTTTGCTCTAAGTGCATTGGTATGGCATGCATTTTACTACTTCTCAGAATAGAATTGCATGTAATCAGAATACAGAAAAAAATCATTTCTCCTCCCAATAACTTTGTGAGATGTTTCCAGAGTGGAAACTTGGTTACTTTCTAATTATAACTTGTGGCTGGGCGTGTTGAAATCTAAAACCAGTTCTATAGGAGTCCTCGCTGTTCTTTTCCCTTGAACATGAGCAGCAGGAACAGGTGAAAAGCAAATATGGAATTGCTTGAGTCAGGCCTGGAGTTTTCATTGTTCTGTGTGCTTGGCTTTATTTAGACATTCAATCTAGATGTCCACCTTACTTGTCCAGAGGAAAATAGAAAGGCTTGATACGAACTTTATCATATGCTTCATGAATTACTGTTTTAATGAATATCTAGAAAGAACTGATGCTCTGATGCTTTGCTGCCAACTGACCATCTCCTAAAGGCAGTTTGTATGAAGGGGTTTTCTTAAACTTTAGCCTCCTGTCCAGTCCTTTGTGTTAGTTTTAGTCCATGCTTTTCCTTATAGCTCAGAACATTTGGGTAGATTCCAGGTGAAAGGCAAGGCTTTGTAAAAGGGCATCTTTCTTTCAGGTACCTTTCCCCACTTCATTTGTTTTTTTTAAATATTGGCTGTTTTAAATTATTCAAGTAACACATAGCCATTGAGAAATATGAAAATAGAAATACACAAATAGGAATAAACTATCTATGATGCCCCTACCCAGTTCAGCTGCTACAGTCTTTCAGTTTAATTTCTCTCAGAATCCTTTTTAGTGCTAGAAATTATATTTATTAATCTTTGAGAGTTTCTGAGCCCTGTTTACTCTATCTCCCTCTTACCTGTTGCAGAGGAGCTCATTCTGCCCTTTCTTCCTTTTCCTAGATCAGTTTGTCTTTCCTAGATTACAGGGTTATTTCAGGAGACGAGGTTTAACCCAAATAAAACAAAATAATAAAATTTAAAAAGCAGAGAGGCTAAACGGACCCAGGTAATACAGAACTGACAGGAAGGAGGGCAGGCTACTACGTAAGAGCTTGGAGGAGGCCAAGTGGTGCCAACTGGCCACGAGAGGACCTGCAGAAAGAGCAGGGAGCCAAGGCTGAGTGGGAGAAGGACCAGTGGTGCAGTGGTGTATGAACTGAAATCCCATTAGTGCTACTGGACTGATGCCTGTGTCAGGCTTGGGTGGTAGGTTGAAGAACAACTGCTTTTTGCATTTTTGTATTTTCTTTTTTTATGTGTTCACTTTTTTGGTTTATACAATAACATACTAATTTTAGAAATTTCTACTTCTAGGCTATATCTCACATATGATAAATTCACCTGACAGAGAGAATGTATTATAGTTGTTTTCACCAACTCAATATATTATTGTCTTCCCATGCTTGTTCAACTTTTTAAAAAAGTGTAGTTCATCTGTTTAAAAATAACTGTATATACCCCTGTCTAGTAACCTGTTGGCCATATAGGTTGTTTCTAGAAGTTTCTAGTCATAAATACCACAGATATGAACACTGTTATATCTCAATCTTTGCAATTTTATTAATCTCCTTAGATTCTGAGGGACTTATTGACTAAGGGTGTAAGTGTTTGCAAGGATTTCTATTGAAATAAGCAACTTGTTATTACAGTGTTTGTTTTAAATTATGTTCTACCACTCCATGCTTTTCTAACAGTTTTTTAACTTTTTATAAGTGGTTTCACATCGATTATATCTCTTGATTTCATCCAGTAAAGTGGGAGAAACTATCTTTCCTCATTCAAAACTGTAAATGTAGCTTATATGTTTCAGCAGGCAGAATAAAAGCTAAAATTTAAAGGAACTTAAAAAAAAAGAATCATGATTATCCTAAATATGTATCCAAATATGAGTAGGAATCTTTCATATCACAGAAAGTGGGCTTTGAGCACCACCTCCCCTCATTTGTAAATCAATTATGTTGCTATTCAAAGCACAAGGAAAACACACAGACCCTCCTTGTCCTTCCCAAGGAAAATCCTTGTCAGCCTGTAGGATAAAAAGTTGAGGTTCACACCTGTAATCCTCACTACTTGGGAATCTGAGATCAGAAAGGTCCATGGTTCAAGGCCAATACAGTCAAATAGGCAAGTAGTTTGAGAGACCCCCATCTCCAAAATAATGAGAGCAAAATGGACTGGAGTGGCCCAAGCAGTAGAGTGCTTGCTTTGTGAGCACAAAGCCCTGTGTTCAAACCCCAGCCCTACCAAAAGAAAAAAAAAGTTAATAACTCATTGTAGTTACCCACCCCAAAGATTTTGTTAAGGACTTTGCATGCACAGTGGGTTGGGGTGAGGGACTACAGTGCCTAGCCATTTTCATTTATGAAATACTTGGTCTAAATTTCTTCATCATAAAGAGTTTCCCACATTATCAAGAGTAGTGTGAGCACTATCCTATAATGAAGACCTTTCGCTCCTGTAACAGTGAACCCAGAGGCTATGTACTTGGAAATCTCAGTTGACAACACACCTTTGATGCTTTGGGTCTCTGAAGACATTAGTAATGGACTCTATATCAGGAGTCATAAACTCAAATGCCTCCATAGGGCAGGTAGATTATGTAAGAAAGTGATTCAGTTATTAGAAAAACAGTGATGAATGGCAGTTCACTTTGGGCCTTTGCAGCTAGAACACAGTAGAGAGTGGTGGAGCCTGGGACTAAATGACGAGTGTTTATTGTGTCTGAATGAGAAGGCACTCTTGTTTAGATTTCCTTGTTCATGGAGAAGCAAGATATCTCAGGTTGTTTTTTTTTTTGTTGTTGTTTTGGTTTTTTTTGGCAGTACTGGGGCTTGAACTCAGGGCCTTCACCTTGAGCCACTCCACGAGTCCAATTTCTTGTGATAGGGTTTTTCGAGATAGGGTCTCATGAACTATTTGCCTGGACTGTCTTCGAACTTTGATCCTCCTGATCTTTGCCTCCTGAGTAGCTAGGATTACAGGCATAAGCCACTGGCACCCTGCAATATCCTAGGTTTTATGGACTGTTTACACACCGGGGATTCAAGTAAAAGTTTAAAAAAAAAAAACAAAAAACACTTTATAGGTTAAACAAAAATGTGACTGCAGACTGGATCTGGCCCACAGAGGCCATTGTGTGTAGAGATACTGCATTCATCCATGATGACAACTTCTATAAGGATTGAAATACACATGTATAGCTAAGAAAATGAAACCTACTGTGTGCTAGAGCCCAGGCTGTATGAAAGATAAATACACCACCGCCCAAAGAAATTTTAGTCTTCAAAATTGTGGGCTTCTGGTAAGATGGAGTGACCAGTTTTGTAAGAGTCAGATAGACTACCTGGGTGTGATCTTATCTCCACCCTTTTTGAACCTCTAAACCTAAGTTTCTTCATTTGAGAAATGCATGTATCACATATACTTCGTAAGGTTACAAGGATTTAATGTTCCAATGTAGATAAAGGGCTTAGTGTATTCAATGACTGTTTCTACTCTTCTTTTTCTTCTCCCTCCTCTTTTTTTTTTCCATTTTTCTTTTATTATTCATATGTGCATACAAGGCTTGGTTCATTTCTCCCCCCTGCCCCCACCCCCTCCCTTACCACCCACTCCGCCCCCTCCCTCTCCCCCACCCAATACCCAGCAGAAACTATTTTGCCCTTATTTCTAATTTTGTTGTAGAGAGAGTAGAAGCAATAATAGGAAGGAACAAGGGTTTTTGCTGGTTGAGATAAGGATAGCTATACAGGGCATTGACTCACATTGATTTCCTGTGCGTGGGTGTTACCTTCTAGGTTAATTCTTTTTGATCTCACCTTTTCTCTAGTACCTGTTCCCCTTTTCCTATTGGCCTCAGTTGCTTTAAGGTATCTGCTTTAGTTTCTCTGCGTTAAGGGCAACAAGTGCTAGCTAATTTTTTAGGTGTCTTACCTATCCTCACCCCTCCCTTGTGTGCTCTCGCTTTTATCATGTGCTCAAAGTCCAATCCCCTTGTTGTGTTTGCCCTTGATCTAAGGGTCCACATATGAGGGAGAACATACGATTTTTGGTCTTTTGGGCCAGGCTAACCTCACTCAGAATGATGTTCTCCAATTCCATCCATTTACCAGCGAATGATAACATTTCGTTCTTCATGGCTGCATAAAATTCCATTGTGTATAGATACCACATTTTCTTAATCCATTCGTCAGTGGTGGGGCATCTTGGCTGTTTCCATAACTTGGCTATTGTGAATAGTGCCTCAATAAACATGGGTGTGCAGGTGCCTCTGGAGTAACCTGTGTCACAGTCTTTTGGGTATATCCCCAAGAGTGGTATTGCTGGATCAAATGGTAGATCGATGTCTAGCTTTTTAAGTAGCCTCCAAATTTTTTTCCAGAGTGGTTGTACTAGTCTACATTCCCACTTCTCCCTCCTCTTGCTACACCTGCTGAGCAGGTCTTCCTGTTCTTTTCATATTCCAGGTTCCTAAGCCCCTTCAACATGATACTTGGCGGAACTGTGGTAGTGCTGGTGTTCACGGGGTTTGTGTGGGCAGCCCACAATAAAGATGTCCTCCGCCGGCTGAAGAAGCAGTACCCCACGACGTTCGTGATGGTGGTCATGCTGGCTAGCTACTTCCTCATATCCATGTTTGGAGGCGTCATGGTCTTCGTGTTTGGCATCACTTTTCCTTTGTTGTGTAAGTGATCCTGAGTTTTCTTTTTCCTTACAGCATAGAAAAATGTAGCCACAACTGGGAGTGCCTCAAATGGTAGAGCACCTGCCTAGCAAGCTTGAGGCCATGAGTTCAAACCCCAGTGCTGCCATTAAAAAAAAAATATATATATATATATATATATATAGCCACAATTGTCCAATGGGAATTGCATAACTTGTTTCTTCTGTGTGTTGACATGTCTGCTATAGTGTCAGAATTTTCTAAAAACAGCAGATTATGGCCTAATAGTTCATGAATTCCATAAATATGGATGGACACTTACTGTGTGTCAGACACTCTTATGGAGACCCAGGAATAAACAAGACAGATACAAATCCCAAGTCATACAGCAGGAACTGGTACAGCCTGCCTTAGACTGTAATCTTGAAATACCATTCATATTACCCTGATCCAGGAATGAGTGTATTTGTCATTTAGAAGTAAATCATTTTCTCTACTTACCTCAGAAGATCATAACTAGTGCCCAAAGATGGTTAAATTTATAAGAATAACTGACCCAATGTGTAGATAGTCAAAATCCAGTGAACCAGGTGTTTCTAAACTGCAAAAGTGTTATTTACTAAGACCCCAAACACTTGAAGCCTAAAACAGAGAAAAGATTGCAATCTCATCAACAGAAATCTGATTGAAATTCTGTTGCATTAATTGACAGGAATATCACTTTAGCTTAAAATACAATTTCACCTATGCATTTATTCCATTAAATAAAATCTTTTGCTATTTGACATTTTGTTAGATTAAGCCCAGGATATTTGTGAACAAATCCTACACCTTTTCACATAAAATATTGGAGTTGGTAAATTCAGACTTTTTGAAATTTTTCTTATATGCTGGAGGCTGGTGTTTCAATGATTCTGTTTAAACACAGCACTTATTGATCTTAGTACCTTTCTACATAAGAGCCTGAGACAAGCCAGAGTAGTAAAATATGTAGATAGACAGGTAAGAATTGTAACTTCTTTTCCTAGATCTGCTCGAAACCAGCAAGTTTGGACTAGTCATCCTAAAGAAGCTGAGTTCACTCATCTACAAAATAAGAGATCATAGACAAGAGCAGTGATACTCAAACTTTGATAACTGTGATAATCATCCAAAATGCTTTTGTGAAATACAAATTTTGAAGCCATATAACCTTTGGAGATCTGGATTCTGTGGGCCCACAGTAGCGCCCAAAGAACATGCATGTTTAAAAAGTTCCTTGTGTTTCTGATGGCCAGTGTTAGGGTGGGAGCCTCCACCACATGAGTGTTTTTCAAAATGAGGGTCCAAGATCCACCTGCAGGCCCATCTCTGTCTTAGTCTAAATTTGGGGTGGTAGAAACTGGGAATTTCCTATTTAATAGGCTCTCTGGAAACTTTGGATGTTACATGGAAGTTGAAAAAAAACAACACTGGTATAGGTCACATAGGGAATCTGTTTAAAATACAGATTCCCATTCCATTTTTAGGTCAGGGGGTCCAGGAGAGGGGCCAAGGAATCTGTGTCATGGTAAACTCAGTTGTTCATAATGATCACCAGCACTTTGGAAAACTGCCTCTTTGGAGGCACCTTAAAAGTGGGCTTTACCCCTATGTCTTCTGCAGAGAACAAAATGAAGATAATCCCCAAATTGAGTAAGAGTTCCTTTGGGGAAAACCTTGAGTAAGTGGATTTCTATTTGGGTTGGAATCACATTGACTCACCCTGAATGCCATGGCATTTAAGGGCATCTGCAAGGTGACAGTGCCAGTGTGTGAAGGAAAGAATGTGGCTGCCAGCTTACAGGGCTTCCGGCTGAGCACCGTGCACTCCCCCCCCACACACAAAGAACTCTGTGTGTGACCCCATGAACAGCTTTGTGGAAAGTCCAGGTAGCCACGTAGAGGCTTGGATCAGTGAGACAGGCAGATTGCATAGCAGTTGGCTGAGGCAATTTACCAAGAGTGTGGAAAAGGGGAGGAGTGCATTGTCGGTGTGGCAAAGAGGATTCTTGCTTTGGCACTAACTGTGGGCCACTTTCTTGTAGTGATGTTCATCCATGCATCGCTGAGACTTCGGAACCTGAAGAACAAGCTGGAGAATAAAATTGAGGGGATCGGCTTGAAGAAGACACCCATGGGCATTGTCCTGGACGCCCTAGAACAGCAGGAAGAAAACATGAGCAAATTCACTGACTATATCAGCAAAGTGAAGGATTAAACATGGTGTTCCTGGCTGCAGTCTGCCCTTGGCCAGACCTACTTTTTATTTGTGTTTTTTGAAGTAGGAGGTGCACGTTTTACCACTCAGACACCTAAGGCAGCATGCGTGTATAGGCCCAACCTTTATCATCTGTTGCTATCGAGGGAAGGCCACAGAAACTAAAGGAAAAGCACCCTCCTCTTGTGTCTGTGTTTATGACAGAGCATGACAGAATGACAATACTGTTATCTCATAGGGAAGAAGTAATCAAAAAGTATCAAGGCAGTAGGAGTCAATGAGAAGTCTGCTGAAGTACACGGTGTCAGGTGTCGGCCTGTTTATAACCCCCTCCAGTCCCCTCCCAAGTTCCCTGGGACTGTAATGCAGGGGTGGGGGAGTAGATAGATTAGTTTAGTTTCTGTTCTTTTAAAATCAAAGAGGATCTCTATCATGCGCTTGACTGATGTGCAGTGGAGACTGGATAAACCAGTTGTTTATACTTTGTTTACCAATACGAAGATAGCTGTCTAGACGATTTTGTTAAATTTTTGTAAATTTTTAAAATGCTAGTAATGTGTTTTTGCCAGCAGGTGTTTGTTGCAAACTTAATGTCATCTTCCTTTGCCGTGTAGCCTGTATTATTCTTGACTTGTTAAAGAACAAACAAAAAATAAAACCAAACTTGAATTCTGTGTACACTGCACATTTTTTGTTGCTATAATGAAAAAAAGGTTGTCCAAGATAATGTTTCACGTATGTTTTTCATTGTTTGGATTTTAACTGGAGCATTTAGAAGGAAAGAAATGAATGTGCATTTTATTAATTCCTTAGAGGCACAAAGAGCACAATAATAGCTGAGCTTTTGTAATTTTAAAAACATCCCCTACATGACCAACCCAAAGACTTCCTGATGGAGACAGGAAGATCATGTTGAAGCCAGCCTGGGCAAAAAAGTTAGTGTGACCCTGTCTTAACAAGTTGGGTGTGGTGGTATGTGACTGTAATCCCAGCTACTTGGGAAGTGGACGTAGTAGGATTATAGTCCAAGGCGGGCCCAGACAAAAGTATGAATCCCTATCTGAAAAACAAAAGTACAAGGTCAGGGAAGATCCTGACTTCAGGCTTCAATCAGTGCTTAAAAAAGGGAGGAAGGGGGTGGTGGTTACCTGCTTTTCTACAATACATGAAAATTTTAGATAGTGATTATAACAATTGCTTTTATAGATCTTTCATAGCTAACAGTGGAGTTAGGAGAGCCTGAGTTTATGTATTTCGTGATCTTCAGCCCTTTGTTTCCTGTGTATTTAGAAACAGATTAAAAATGTGTGTGTGCCACTGGGGTTATTTCATCAGTGAAGTAGAAAGCATTTAGGTTTTCCTAGCTTCGAATTGTGAAGACAAGTGGAGTGGTCATTACTGCAGAAACTCTGTGTCCGAGAATAAGACAAGGAGCAACAGTGTTTGCTGCTCCTGTTTTCTTACCCTTTCATTTCTTAGCCAGCCTGCATCCTTCCTCTTTAGCAGTGACACCGCCACAGCTCCGCACCCTGTCTAGAATCTGTACCTTTACCCAAATATGAAAAAAACAAATTATTAAGGGTATTTTTGGTGAGATTTTATTTAATGCAGACCCATATCTGAGAAACTCAGTGACAACCCTACAAACCACGAATATGTACTACACAGCAAATACTCTTATCTCATTTTAACCCCTTCCATTTTCTACATGGTATATTTCTGGCTAAATGACACAAATTTGGAGAAAGTGACAGCTTGAATTTTAAAAGACACTCATGATTTCTAATGGTCAGTAGTCAAGTCTGGAAGGATAAGAGAAAAACATGACATGTAAACATTGCTGGTTAATAGGTTAATATAGATAGATAATAGGTGATAGATAGATGATAGAAAGATAGACAGATGATAGATGATACAGAGATAGATAGATAGATAGATGATAGATTTTTTTTTTTTTTTTTTGGTACCGGGTTGAAATTCAGAGCTTGCTAGGCAGGAGCTCTATCACTTTAGCCACGCCTCCAGCTCTTAATATTACATTTTAAAAACAATTGCAAATCTTCTCCTAAGATCTTTGGTGTGAGCAGTGGACAGAAAAACCATGATGTGAGACACTTCCCCACTCTTGGCTAAATCTGTGACAGTAAGCCATGAAATTGAATGGATTTTTTGGGTTTTTTTTTTTTTTTTTGAGTACAGGGTTCAAATTCTCTTTCAGGACTACTGATACTTTTTGAAATTCCTGCCTTTATTGATACTGTGGCTGAACAAACACCTAGGGCTTTCTAGAACTTCAACTACTAATATACATGAAGTTTTTGAATATGATCAGAGTGCATTTTCTTGTCAGAGTTTGATCTCTTAGATTCAGAATGGTGCTAGACACTTAAAAGTTTTATGTATTGTAACCCGTTCTTAACTATCCTGCTTGCATGCAAGAATGTTTTCTAGAAATATCACAGTAGGAAAAGACAAAGCCATCAGTTGTTGGTTATTTTTAAATTACTAACTTGGTGGAGAATGTAAATATTTAAATTTGGCTACTTTTATACACACTAAATTATCTTTGAAAAACAGAAACAGTATTTCTCGTGGCTTGTTCTTCCAAGAAATATGTTGCTTTACGTTTGTCCCCATTAGAGAATTCTCTCCCAGCCTGCTCTGCCTGTTGTATCACCTATGATTCTATAAAAGGAAAAAGAAGGCCAATTATTCATGCATGTAAAGAAGGGAAAAGGCTCTACACCTTGATTTCCTAAATCCTAGGTTCATATCACTTCAAAAAGTGATGGCTTTTATTTTGTGAGATTTTTATTACAAAACCTCAAATTCTAGAACATAACTGAGGGCTCTGGGCCCTTGGAAGGGAAAAAGAATGTGGGTTAGAGTGTCAGAACGGTTTTGTTGAGATTGGACCAGGCCTTCACAGAGGGCAGGAGGGAGTCTGTTGGCGGGTTCTGTGGAAAGGTCAGAGAGAGCAGGAGCATAGGGTATGCAGGACAGTGTTTTATCAAGAGGAGTGAAGGATTTGCAAGGGCTAACACTGGATTAGTACATTGGGGCCAGGCAATGGCGTACCCTGAAGAATAGGATAAGGAGTTTAATCCAGACAAGCTTCCTTCACAGGGCTTCTGAGAACAAGATCAAATTAGACTCACGGATTAAGCTAAAAATATATATAAATATTTGTGTGTGCATCTGTATGTACAAACACACATCTATTTAGATAAACCCCCAAATTTGTCAATAATCATATTATTTATTCTGCCATTTTTTCCCTTATAAAACAGCATGTTATCATCCATTGTCCCTATATATAGAAACACTGTCCAGAAGTTTCCATGTATATGAAGGATTTACTTTTCTCACCACTTTTTCTGGCAACATTGTTTTTTCCATGTCCTATAGCTAAAGTGTTCTGTTTCTCCCAGATACTCCTATCAGAAGAACACCCTAAAACATCAAGGGAGAAATCTCCACTCACTCTTCAGAGAAGAGCTAACAAACCATCCTTTACTTTGAAGCTTTGGCAGGACTAGGAGTTCAATTCACTCTCCATATTTCCTTAGGCTGAAACATGCTTTATTCCCTTTAAAATACTGTGCAGTGAATTACACCAGAGGAGTGGGAAGAGAAAGAAATAGGAATATAATGAGTACTTTACACTGCCGTCATATTTATTGTCATTTACCAGAAGAAAGCAATAGGAAAGTAAATGTTTACAAAATAAATCTCAACTTTTGCTTCTGGAAGCACAGCTAAATTTCACCCAATTACGCAAATTGATTAGAAGTAGAAAAATGTTGCCTATGAATATTAATTTTTTATCTCCTCCCCCTTCCTCTTCTGTTTGTATTTTGTCATGGCATAAGAATTCCATGTTTCACATGTTAGCCCTGTTGCCAGTCCACCTCCTGTATCCAGAAGTGTTGCTGCTGCTGAAATAGCTTCCATGCCCAGTCCAAGAGTCACTGTTTCACCCCCTTGTTCTTCTAGATGATTCTGTTGCCTCTTAGGCCAGTTCTTTTGGCAGTTGCACCTGTGATTTAAGTATTTGGAGATAAAGGGAAAATTAGTCCTGGAAATTCAAGAGCTTTACAGCAAAAGTTACAAACTCTACATGCCTCAATGGATGTAGAATGGATTAGAAATTCAGGCCAGAGAGCCCTCCAAAATCATGATAAAGTGAAAACAACCATGACCACCATCATTGTGCATTTGCTAATGCAAAGGACTGTTCCAAAGTCTTAGAGCACACGGTGAAGCACTTCACAGAAACAAGAGGGCAGGTGCTGGAACCCGCCTGCGTTCAAAGCCTAGCACCAGCATTTAGTAGATGATTTATGATGAGCATCACTGTCTCAGCTATAAAATGACAATAACAGTATCTGCTTCACAAGAATAAAGATCAAGTTACATAATATAAATGAGTAATCAGTGTGGACACTTACTATAAAAACCATTACCTCATTGCATCCTATAATAATAGCCTGTGGTTCATCTTGATTGTCAACTTGATTGCATTGAGAAGCTCCCGGGAGATCAGTGAAGCACACCTCTAGCTGTGTCTGTGAAGGATTTTCCAAAAAGGGCTAACTGAGGGGAGAAGACCCACCTTGAATGTAGGCAGTACCATCCCATCAGTGGGGGCATAAAGGGAATAAAGAGGGAAAAGGAGAAATCCAGCCAGTGCCTGTGCAGGCCTTCTCCCCTCTGCTTCCTGGCAGCCATGATGTGAACTGCTCTGATCTGCTACACACTCCCCTCCATGATGAGCTAAGACCTCTGAAGCCATGAACTACGATTAATAATTCCTCCTTTTAAGTTGTTCTCTTAGACATCCTGTCACAGCAATGGAAGCATGATGAACACACCTTGTAAGAAGGAAATGGCTCAGAGATGACAGGAAGGGTCACATAGCTAGGAAGTGGTAGAATAGGACTTGGGCCAGATATACCTGACTTTAGTACCGATTATCTACATACTGCCTGTAGAAAAGCCACCCTTAGAATAAAAGGCATATGTTCTTTTACACACAGGTCTTTCCTCTTCGAAGCACATTCCTAATTTGATATTCAGTAAAAAAAAATTTTTTTAAATATATTATTTGGTGAATCTTCCAAGGGCCAAACAAAAAATGACAAAAGAATGACCTAAGTTCAACTCTGCAAGTCCACTTCCTACTTCCTTTTCATAGGAACAGCATAAAAGTAAGGCAAGTTCTTAAAGGGTTGCATGTGGTGTTCTATCTTAGGAGGGTGACTGACCCGTCGTGTACCTTCCTGAAGATGGTGAAGAACTTAAGAGGACACTCAATCTGTTTAGCAGCAACTATACAGTTTCTCCCAGGTACACCTGCCAGTCTGAGGAACCATTCTGGCCATTGCTATGACTCCTCTTGCAGTCAATTCTCTGTCCACACCCTTTGGCATCCTGCCCTCCAGAGGGTACATTTGATGTCCCCTTCAAGTCGAGTGGCCCTTGATGTGCTTCTGAATGTCTCTGTCTCTCATGCTAGTCTTTGAGAAGGGATGATGTGACCATACCTTGGTAGGGCTCACCCATGGAAAACACCAATAATTAATTACGATGAGCCAGAAGTATACCAGGTACTTCAAAGTTGCAACAAATAGCTCAAACAGTATGATCTTTGCCTATGTTTATATATACCCCGAATGGTTTCAAAAAATATAGTTTAAAGCCGGTAGCTCATGCCTGTAATCCTACTCAGGAGGCAAAGATCAGGAGGATCGCAGTTTGAAGCCAGCCAAGGCAAATAGTTTGTAAGACCCTATTTGGAAAAAAAAAAAAAAAAAAAAAAAGCACACAAAAAAAGTGATGGTGGAGTGGCTGTAGGTGTAGGTCCTGAGTTCAAACCCCAATACCACAAAAATAGAAAAAAAGGTTTTTTTTAAAAGAAAAATGTGATATTGAGCCAGTACAGTAAACCAAGACAGATAACAATATGCTTCAGATATGATCAAGATGGCACCCAGGCACTGCTTGCTCATACCTGTAATTCTAGCTATGTGAAAGACTGAGGTCAGGAGGATAATGATTTGAGACCAGCCTGGGCAGAGTTCAAGACACCCCATCGCCAGATAACCAGAGCAAAATGGAGAGGAGGCGTGGCTAAAGCAGTAGAGCACCTGCTTTGCAAGTGCAAAACCCTGAGTTCAAACTCTAGGCCCACCAAAAAAGTAAAGAATCAAAGTTCGTATCATTAGGGTAAGGAGGAATGAGTCACCAAAAAAATCACTGGTCAACTGTTTAAAAAAATAGTAAAGTAGACATTTTGTCTTTTATTTATAAAATATAACCATTTAGTTCATCTGTAATAACAAACATTTTAAAAGTCAGAAACTATGTAAGAAAAGAATAGAACACATTTTAATAGTCTTCAGAGAAGCCATTTCCAAGCGAAACAATGAAACAGCAATCATAAAGGAAAAGAGCCAGATTTTAGAAAATAAAAAAGATAGCCAGATTTGATGTTATAAAATACTGCACAAACAGGAGACAATCAACTGTGTTATGATTTAGGGAGTCCCTCTCCTCCCCACTTTTAGTTAAAATTAGTTTCTTAAGTGTGTGTGGTATGCTCACGTATGTGCAGTTTTTACACAGTACACACACATTCACTCATGGAGCAGGGCGGTGGGGGGAGGTAGGAAGGGAAGGCCCATTTCAGCAGGGATTACTTAACACTGGAGCACCTTGGTGGGTGTCCAGAATAGAAATGGGGAAGGCCTGCCTTGGGGAACTCAGAATCCAGTAGGAGATGGATACTCTCAACCTGAAGCAAAAAGTGAGAGGTGCTGTAAAAGAGGTACAGGTAAATGGAAATACACAAGGAGGGGACTACTGACGTTTTGATTTTTTGTGTAAAAAAGCAGTTTTTGAGACAAGTCTTAGAAATTGGATAGACTCTGACTCAGAAGGTCTTAGGTGGGGCCTGAGAACGTGCATTTCTGGTGATGATGCTGATGCTGCTTTTTCAGGGACCACATTTGGACAACCGTGACCTTATGACAAGTATGGCAAGCCACGTTGCCTGGTATTATCCTTGAAGGGCCTTGCTTTCAAGGGGGTGCTATTGTTGTAGCAACCTCTGTCTTAGATTGTCTTTTCTTCTATCTGTTGAAATCTATCCAATTTCTAAGATAGCAATCTGTCTCAAATTTTAAGATTTACTACACATGACTTTATACAAGTTGTATATCAAAAACCTTTTCCACTACATACTAGAAGGTCATTTCTGGTTACATTATTCTTGGATTATCTATGCTCTTTTGACATGAGCTTGAGCTGCTACATTGCTTTATGCCATAGAGTCTCCCTTTATTTTAAAAAAAAAAATTACAGCATTTCCAAAGTTGTGGTTTACACTTGGCTTTGGCTCCTGTTTGTTCTCCTGATTCCATTATTTTGACAGCATGAAAAAGCAGCAAGTAAAAAGAAGATTAAGATGACTTTCAGGTCATCTTAATCTAAAGAACTGAATGCACGAAAAAAAAAAAAACATACCAGAGAAAACTGGATGCCAGAAACAACAACCAGACCTAACACAGAAAAACTGGGCATGGAGACAGATTGAATGAAGATACTAAGAAAACTCTGGATGATACAAAGGGAAGGAGAAATTGGGAGATTGTCCTAGATTATGTGATGCTGACACAAAAAGAGAAAATGAGAAAAAAAATTGCAAAAGCATAGAATCTAGAGAACCTGGTTAAAGAGAAAAATCCTACAAATGAAGCAAAAAAAGAAGTGGCCATAGACAAAGACAAATACTGACTCCATAATCTTAAATTCTTCAATCAGAGTGCATCAGAGTCTCTTGGGAACAAAGAATGCACATACTACTTTTATACTGAAGTCTTTCCAAGGAGAGATTTAGCAATTCATTAGCCAATGGCTGGGAGCAGTCTAGATGTATGTAAGGGAGCCCAAAGGGAAGTGGGGTGAATTTTGAAATAGTCACCTCATTTTGTACTAAAGCCCAGGTTTGCTACAAATGCTGCTGACCCCAGTGAATTAAACACTTGCTACAAATGGAATTTTGTCTCTGTAAAAACTACAAACACTCCTCTGGGTTGGCAGGCAGTGAGTGAATCACAAAATATTTGAAGATGAAAGAAAATTGTAATTTGTCAGGGAGGGAGAAACTTGTACAAGTTGAATGTCCACTTTGTGTTTGTGTCTCAGTAATTGAGACTTATTAACTCAAAGAAAAATATCAGTTATCTAATAAATTCACTTTGTTAGACAAGAAAGATATTAAAAACAAGAGCAAACTGAAAAAATTCTACAAGAGCCAAATATGTAAATGAGGGAAGCCAGGCTGGTGTAGGGCAGTAGGGCAAAGGAAAAAATTTGGACAGGCCATTGCCTAGCTCAAGGGAGAAGCCAATATACAGAAGTAGCTGGGGACATGGCTCAAATGATAGAGCACTTGCTTACTGAACAAGAGGCCCTGAGTTCAAACCCCAGTACCACCACAAGCAAAAAGTAGTAGCTGACTTCAAAGGCTTTGCCTGCTTTATGTGAGGCCCTGAGTTCGATTTCCCTCACCACCAAAACAAACAAGCAAATAATGTGGCTGACTTGTGCCATTCAAATGCAAACTTGATGTGGTCAGATTTGAGATTTTAAGTAGTGTCAGATATTTGGATTTTTTTTATGTGACATTTAAAAGTTACAAAATAATACTAAGCCAAATAAAGCAGACATTTTCTACACTTTCCTTAATCTGAATCAAGTGGGTTGTGACTTGCAGGATGTAGCATTTGAGCAAAACAAATGTGATTTTCCTTTATTATTTTCTGGCAGCTTCATTTCAGGAAACCCAGGCCAGAAGCATGAGACAAGGAGATAATAAGGATTAAAATGAAAAAAGACCTCAATTTTAAAAAATGCAAACTGATTATTGGGATATGCTCAAGAATACACAAAACTAACATTTCTAAGCCTATGAAAGGAAAACAACTATTTTTTAAAAGCTTTGTTTTTTATTTTTATTTTTTGGCAGCACTGGGGTTTGAACTCAGGACTTCATCCTTGCTAGGCAGGCACTCTATCACTTTAACAGCACCACTAGCCCTCTTTTTGTTTTGTTTTTTTTTCCTTTTTCTTTTATTATTCATATGTGCATACAAGGCTTGGTTCATTTCTCCCCCCTGCCCCCACCCCCTTACCACCCACTCCGCCCCCTCCCTCTCCCCCCCCAATACCCAGCAGAAACTATTTTGCCCTTATTTCTAATTTTGTTGAAGAGAGAGTATAAGCAATAATAGGAAGGAACAAGGGTTTTTGCTGGTTGAGATAAGGATAGCTATACAGGGCATTGACTCACATTGATTTCCTGTGCGTGGGTGTTACCTTCTAGGTTAATTCTTCTTGAACTAACCTTTTCTCTAGTACCTGTTCCCCTTTTCCTATTGGCCTCAGTTGCTTTAAGGTATCTGCTTTAGTTTCTCTGCGTTGAGGGCAACAAATGCTAGCTAATTTTTTAGGTGTCTTACCTATCCTCACCCCTCCCTTGTGTGCTCTCGCTTTTATCATGTGCTCAAAGTCCAATCCCCTTGTTGTGTTTGCCCTTGATCTAATGTCCACATATGAGGGAGAACATACGATTTTTGGTCTTTTGTAGCCCTCTTTTTGTGATGGGCTTTTTCAAAATAGGATCTCGGAACTATTTGCTTGGGGCTGGTTTTGAACCACAATCCTCCTGAACTCTGCCTCCTGAGTAGCTAAGATTACAGGCAGAAGCCTCTGCTGCCTGGCTCTTTAAAAGCTTTTAAAAATAAATTATTTTCAGGTGTATTTTTGACCAGTCACTGTTCCAGCAGCACTAATAGGAACAATATTAAGAACATCAATTAAAAACATAAAATTTCAAAATTGTGCATTAATTTTAACCTTCTTGAAAATTCAGGTGTTTAGAGACCATCTGTGTCCCAAGCCCATAAAAACTTTCATTTGACCTCTTATAAAGTGACCACTGTCATGTCATTTGATTGATCAGAAATATCCCTTTCTGCTGGAGTTTTGTGATATCAGCACTCCTTAGCACTCACGGAATGTCACTGAGTCTAAGTTGCATGTTTTTGATGCTCCTCTTGCTCTGAAATCAGGAGGCATCTTAACATCAATGACATTTTACAACAGGTGGCCACCGATGCAAGGGTGAGTACATCAAAGCTCTTGAAACTATCATCGCTGTCCCTGAGTCATGTGTCCTGTGGGGACTACATACGTGTAGGTGTGTCACAACTTAAGATATCTGTTAAAGAATGATAAAGAAAGTGCAGAAATGTGATAGGTCCATAAAAATTCTTTGAACCATTTTTGAACTTCCATAAATCTAAAATGATTTCAAGATAAAAGATAAAAAAATGAAAATGTCCTCTGAAAGATTACACTATGATTTGGCTTAAAATCATATTTATTGTGAGGCAGAAAGTCACAAAACAGAACAGCAGGGAGCAAACAGATGTTAGTGAAGCAAGTTATTCAGCAGAATGACACATTTGCACATTTTTTTCACAGTGTGTCTTATAGATCTCAATTGATGAGGTTGTGTGACATTTTATAACTGAGAAACATGCAAAAAAGAAAAAAAGTGGTCACTGCAGGCCAAACAAGGCAACCAAAAGTGGAGAAATTGCCAATTCTTCAGAATAGTTAAAGGTCATTTCCAAGCAGAGGCTGATATGCAAGACTTTCACTCAAAAAATATGTCATGGTTTACTTTACAGCATGTTTTTCTTAGTTTTGTTTTAACAAAATACAAGCAAGCACACTTAAAACTTATAACATTTTAGTTATAAGTTAGTAAGGTGTTGCATTCTTGCAATTATTGCATGAGAGTGTTTTAATGTCTTTTGTGCTTGCATGTAGACCCAAAGCTGAAGTGGTCTCAGGTGAATAAAAGACAAAGATTCTTCATTCTAAAAGTATAAAACCTATATTGTAAACTCCAGAAGGTGAGTCTGTACCTGATTTACTGTGGTATGCCTGCCTTTCTCAGAGTACCTGGCATGAACATTTGTTGGATTATGAGTAAATGAATGGATGGAACAGAACAGACTTGGGGAAAGAAGATTGGCCCAGTAGACCATTTCCTCTGAACTCAGGGTGTTAGTTCAGATGATTGAACTTCACTCCCTCTTCTACTCTGAATCACATGTCACCTTAGTGTAGATTTTAACAAGGACTTCTCCTAGCTGGGTGCTGGTGGCTCACACCTATAATCCTAGCTACTTGGGAGGCTGAGCTCAGGAGGATTGCTATTTGAGGCCAGCACTAGCAAATAGTTCTGGAGATGCCATCTCAACCAACAGCTGGACATGTTATCACACACCTGTAATCCCAATTATACAGGAGGCTGAAATTGGGAGGATCGTGGTTCAAGACCAGTCTGGGAAAAAACATTTCAAGAGACCCCCATCTCAACAGGAAAAAGCTGGGTGTGGTGGTACATACTGTTATCCCAGTTAAAGCGAGAAGTGTAAAATAGGAGGATTGAGGTTCAGGTTAGACTAGGCAAAAAATGAAACCCTGTCTCCAAAATAACCAGAGCAAAAACACGAGTCAAGTGTAGTAGAGTGCTTACCTAAGCAAGCACAAAGCCCTGAGTGCGAAGCCCAGTAACAAAGACTCCTCTTTCTTTTCAGACTGTTATTTTCTGACCATATAGCAGCCACCCAGGCAGCTTGAATACTCTTTGCCAAGGACTGGTTATGAATAGAACCAGTGATTGAGCTAGATTTCTCAAACAGCACCCTCACGTACAGCAGTGGAGATCTCACTGCCAGAGAAGAGCAGGTGCAGACAGTTGTGACGCAGTGCCCAAGGGCAGGCAAAGGACCTCTGTCTGACCTCATGTGACTCTAGTGTTCTACCTCAGGACAATCAGACTCCTCATAGATGAAAGTTACCTCTGATTTAGAAAATGGAATATGGATACCTTCAGTTTTGCAGGAGACAGGCATGTGAGACAAACACGTCTCACATATGTGAATAAGTAACAATTAGCTCATTTTAGAATATAAAACTCTTGAAAAAAAAAGTACAGGCTTGCGTGGAATGTGTTTAATACATCTCGAAAAAACTGAAAATCTCTATGATGAGATAATATATTGACTTTAAAGTCAATGTAATCTTGTGGCTAAATTACACTCAAGATTTAAAAATAATACAGCTAAATTGCACTCAATATGGCTTATGGACAACACTTCCTCAGCCTCCATGAATGCCATAATAACTTAAGTGACTAAAAAAAAGTCATTTCTGCAGCCTAAGTTGCAAGGAATAGAACTTTTTCACTTAGCGGGAATAGGAAATCATAGTATTACAACTCCATTGATTCATGGACACACTCACCTGAAGTCTACCATTTGTCTACCTGCCTACAAAGTGAAGAATGTAATTGAAGGTAGTCTATCTTCATCTACTGAAAGAGAACCAATTGCTTGAGCATTTTTTCCAGTTGCCTATGAACCTGCCTTAATTAGGCTCCAGGTAGATTCCTGGCTGTCTCTGGTTCTCGAGGCTAGAGATGTTATTTTGGCTAGAATGGTGTTATTTTGTGTATGTACTTTGAGGATTCAGAACAGTGGCCATGACCCTGAACTCAGAACTGAGTTTCAACTGCAGCTCTACCACTTCTTAGCTTTATGTCCTCAACATATTATCAACTTCTCTAAGCCTCAGTCTCCTCTTTACAAAACAGGGAGAGGTGCATCTACCTTATAGATAGATAAGGTAAGATGATTACATGAGTCAATTCACATGACTCTGGCTTAATAAATGCTCTATATTTGATAAATGTTTACTACTTATCACAGATGCAATACAAGCGCATGTCCTTAAGGATAACCAGTAATTCAGACTGACTAGCCATGCTCCCTGGCTCCCCCAAGGAGTCACCATCAGTATCTCCTTGTGTTAAAATGAACAGGGGACAGGATTGGGACATATTTCTTGGGTGTTCGCTCACCATTTCTCCCCCCTGCTACTTACAGGTTTCAGATAGGCGACGTTGCTGTGACGAATGTCATTTAAGAGCTGATCTCTGGGAGTGATTTCCACCAGTGGGGGGGGCCTATTCCTGGGCACTGGTTTAAGCGTTTTGATCACATCTTTGAGGTTGGTTTTCTCGGGTGCTTCCCTGGCTTCTGGCATGCGAGATTTGCGTTGAATTCTCTTCAGCTTCACCACCCTGAAGGAGTCAGGGTCCGTCTTGTACTGTGGAGGTTGAGATGGCTTTTTTGTCATTTCATTTCTTCGGCTGGAGGGGACTGCTTGGAGGTTGGGCCCTGGAGGTGGCTGGAGGACCTCCTGCATTCTGGAGTCTGGCATGGGGCCTCCCAACCTCTCCCACATCCCAGGGGGCAGCCCCAGCCCATTCTCCAACATGGCTATTAACTTTCTCTGCTCTTTTAGTTGCTGTTGTTTTTGTTCTTCTTGTCTTTTCTGCCTTTGTTTATCCTGATTTCTGGTGAGCAGATTAGTGACCACCATTCTGGGACCCGGAAGTTCAAAATGGTAACCCATTTTCAGCAGGGTGTTGTTGGCCTTTAAAAGCCTGGCTATTTCCATTTCGGCATGGTGGCCCAGCATGTGCCTCTGATTGTGAAACCGAAGTTCGGTTAGGGTCTCATTAAACTGGAGACACCTCAGAATGGCCACAATGCCCTTACCCGTGATGAAGTTGGACTCAACGTTGAGTGTGGTGATGCTCCTGTTTTCACGTAGCATGTTGGCCAAGGCAAACGCTACGCTCTCATCTGCACCCACATTTGCTAAACTGAATGTTTTGATGTGTTTGTTTTTCTTCATGGCATTGACAAAGTCCAGTAACATTTCTTTGGGGATGTTTTCAATGTTGTTCAGGTTGAGCTCCTTCATGTCAGGGTCATTTTGTCTCACTCGTCTCAAGCTCCCATCCAAGTCTGTTTGGTTCCCTGAGGGCCTTGCACTTATCTTAAGAAAACTGGTATCTAAAGCCAATTTCTTAGGATCTAGTTTTGCTATTTTTTTCTCACTTTTTTCTCGGGCCTCTGGCCTGTCTCTCTGTTCTTCCAATGTTTTAGTACTGACTTGTTGGCTGTTGTTCTTGCCATTTCTGCTTTGTTCCTTTGCTTGGTTTTCTTCTTCTGTTTTGGTTGTTTCATCAGTCACATCACCATCATCTTCTCCATCATCTTCATCATCTTCCTCTTCATCTTCTTCACCATCTTCATCATCTTCCTCTTCTTCCTCCTCCTCATCATTATGATCATCTGTGTCTTGTATGCTGTTGCCACTTTTTGACTCCCTTTTACTTGCAGCTATTTCATTATTGAGCCTTTCTTTTAAAAACTGGGCCACATTTTTAATACCTCTGTCTCTGTCTTCATGCAGCTCTTGGGTGTTTTCCTAAAAGGTAGGTTTATGAAGGTTAGAATACACAGTAGTGAGTAAATATAAAACAAAGCAATGGCTATTGGAGATAAAAATATTTTTAAGTGCAAAACATTTCACTTAAATATTTAAAACGTTTTTTCACTTCAAAGCACACTGAGATCTCCCTGATCTCTGCCTCCTGAGTAGCTAGGATTACAGGCATGAGCCACTGGCTCCTGGCTTGAGTCTTTTTAAACAAAGTATACCTATATAAACAAATATGATCAAAATGAAGGTAAATTTTTATAGACACACATATATATAATCCTAATAAAATATAAATGCATGTAAATACTTGTTATACTATATTATTTATGGAATAATTATAAGAAAAATCTTTACATGTTCATTATAGATACAAAAATTTAAAAAAATACTTTCAATCCACAGTTGGTAGAATACAATTATGCAAACCCTGGGGATACAGAAAGCCAACTGCACTAAAATAAAACCTAGTTAACTTTATTTTCAGATTCTATATTTTTAAAGTCTCGTTCAATTCTAGAAGCTGTTAAAAATACTTGTTTTGAGGGCTAGAATAGTGGCTCAGGTGGCAGAGCACCTGCTAAGCAAGTACAAGGTCCTGAGTTCAAATCCCAGTACTGCAAAATATATTTGTTTTGAAACTTTATACATTTATTTCATCAATATATTGACATCTTCCTTTCATATATAGCTGAATGAGTATGTATGTGCTCAACAGCCCTGTGTTACACAGTAATTTCCTTATTGCCCTAAATAAAACTTATATTACTAAAGTGTCTGCTAATCGCAAATTCTCCTGAGGATGTAACATGATTTCGGGAAAATGAGAGCAGTTTGATAGTTTGGAAGATGTGTTTTAAAAACCTTGATCTGGAGATCTCCTCAGCTCTGTGAAAACTACCTGGCTACTCCAGAGCCAGGATCACTAGCCTCATGTTTTTTGAAGAAAAGTGACTAGAAGGAAGAACCAGCTATAAAATGGAATAAAGTTAGGCAGAGATTTAGAAATTATTGCTTTGTCTGGGAAGGAAAATGGCAGTCTTTCATCAATGTAGATTCTTGTGCAATAATTATTATACTTTTTCTACACAGTATGTATACCTTCTGGATATCATTTCAAAAGCTAGTGTAGCAGTCTGAGATACAGGTTCATCTGAGTAAGGACTTAATCTTAATGCCCATGATACAGGATGGAATTGGCAGTTGACAAGAGTCCTTAACCACCTAATGCCTTCACCACTGCATTTCTCATCTGTACCAGCAGGAGGAGCCAACCATCAACCTGTTGGAAATATACCAGAGGAAGAAACACTAAAAGTACTCATTTTTTCCCTTCTATAGAATTGGCTTTGGACCCATTGACATTCAATTTTAAAAGGTCTACAAAGGTATCCTAAACTCTAACCTGATCAAGTTGGCAACTTGTTTTCTGGAGCTCAGTTCATGTTTAAATCTCCCCACCATGAAACCAGTTTATCACTTGTCTTAATTACACCCAGCATGATGGCAATTTGTCAAGATACATCTATATCAGCAGGCATCACTGGAAGGGACTTTACCTGGGGGGACATCTCTTCTTGATAAGTTATATTAAATGGAGCATTAAAAAACTGTGCTGATATTCAATAAATTTGTAGGGTCAGTGACCTTTCCAGTTTTTAGATTAAAATTTTTTCAAGGGCTAGTGGAGTGGCTCAAGTGGTAGAGCCATCTGCCTAGCAAGCATGAAGTCCTGAGTTCAAACCCCACTAGCACAAAAAACAATTTTTTTTCAAGAAAGAACTATCTTTCAAAGACTTCACTAGCTATCAATTCTAAATGTCATCACTGACAGTGCACTGTGACAGTATTACACACTTGTGGTTACTTGATGTGCCTCGACTCCCTTGGAATGGTGGAATCTTTGATATTGTATGTGAAATATTTAATGCATATAGATGTTTCGGGGAGAGGGGTACAGAGCTTTTGTGGGCTTCTCAAAGGTGCCTGTGAGCCAAAAGGAAAAAAAAAATTATACGTTAAGGCTATACGTTAAGTCATGAAGTGTCTTGGCTATAGACCACATGTGTTCCTGCACAATGTCTGCAGGGTTTACATGCAGACATTGCAAGAAAATACTAACTTTTCCCTCACAACTATACCGTGAGTCCCAGTTTGGAGTAGGATTAAATATGATATAATCTAGATGTGGCAAAACAAAAACAAAAACAGATCAAAACAATGGAGACTTGAGAAATCACAATTGCAATATAGACATCTGACAGCCCAGTCCCCAGCCATTGCTGTGTGGTACGCAGATCCCTGGTTACCTCAGATTGTACAAAGGTGACAGGAACGCGTTCGTCTTCCAGCATACGCCTGGATGCCTTTTGCCAATACATATAATCAACGAGAGATTTATGGTCGAAGTTTCCTGTCGGTGGCTTGTCGGTTTGATCTTTCTGAATCATTCCCACAGGAAGGTGGGGGTCAGGGGCCATGACCTCCATTTCTGACTGCAGTTCCTTCAGCTCTTCAGGGGACAAGTTAGCCAAGATTTCATCTTCATCAACCTCCTCACCAAGCAGATCTTCTCGATCTGAATTCCTGCTGTGCTCCGACATTTTCTTTCCTCTATGTTTCTATTTCACCCCAAAAGAAGAAATAACCAAAGAGGATCTTTAAAAAAAAAAAAAAAAGAAGAGGAAGACAAAAATCTTAAGAAGATTGTTTAGTTAACAAGTGTTCCAAGTCAGCCCACCCTTGAGATATTTTTTCCCCCAAGAATCTCAGTGGTGTTTGTTGAGAAGCTAGGAGAGACTACAGCTAAGCTCAAGCCGGATCTATATTAAGCAGGCCTTGACTGGCCAGGGTCAATTTATGGAGCTACTATGTGGTTCTCTTTTTGGCAACTTGAGTCAGCTGTGCAAATCCGTCTGACATTTCAGTACAGCTGCTTGTGTTTGCCAGTGAGTAACAGCTTTAAGGAATCTCTACAGGGACAAAATTCATTCTCTTCCTTACATTGCCACGTATGGCTCCATGCAGCTCACGCCTCCATGCCTCAGTTCCCCAGGGAGCCCACCTCTGTTCATTCAAACAATGAAAACAACTTACGTCCTGTCAGAAGGGAATTCCAGCCAGCAACCTCAGTACTTTTGGAGTGAAAAACTGTCTTGCAGGTGCAACTCAAGCTGTCAGGGTTTTTCTGTGGCTCTGGAAATCAGGAGACCTGTGAAGAGCAGGGCGGAGTGCTTGCTGTGTTATCCATCCCTGTGTAAGATGAACCCGGGCAAGATGTCTTTATCTGCATCCAGATTCTGTGATCTACCAGATGGGGACAACCAGCATTTGAATTTCCGCCAGGAGTGAGGAGTTCAATATTTTAAATGATTTGTTTTTTTCATTAAGTCTCCATTAAACCTGCGTAAATTTAAATGGGTCTAAAATGTAATGTGTAAAGACTCAAACCATAAAAGTATTAAAAGAAACTAAAAGATTATTTTATAACCTCCAGGGATAAGATAGCACTATTTAGGAATATAGGAATTGTTTGTCTAAAAGTCAGACGTGGGATAAAGACTTAGATACTGGAAATCTTTTATTATTTTCAAACTTTGAATTTTGTGAACATATTTAATAAGAAATATACATTAATAAGTCATAATAACATAAGGAGGTACTGAGAAAACTAAAATTTTTCCATATCTCATTGCTAAGAGCTACCATTATTAATACTTTGGTTTATCATTCCAGTCATTTCTATTAAGCATATGAACTTTGTAATTTTTGCTACCTGGTTTTGTTTTGGCAGTGTTGGGGCTCAAACCCAGGGCCTTGTGCATTTATACATATTTAAGCACTTTACCACTGAATTACATCAGTCCCAGGCCTGCCATTTGTGTTTTTTATACTGGCAAAGTAGAAATTTTTCTAAGCAATTATAATTCCACTGCTAGATAATTTTAAGAGCTCTCTATTAGGAACTATAGCTCAGAAACTATATCATTTATGTAACTAACCCTTACTTATTGGACATTTATACTGCTTCCATTTCTCTCAAGCACAAACAGTTCTTCAATAAACATCCTTGTAGATGAATATTTGTCTGCCTTGCAAGCTCATTTCTTTTCTTATTGTTGGGACTGTGTTTGAACTCAGAACTTCACACTTACAAAGCAACTGCTCTATCTCTTGAGCTACATCTCTAATCCATTTTGCTCTGGTTATTTTGGAGATCAGATTTTGCAAACTATATGCCTGGGCTGGCCTTGAGCCATGTTCCTCCAGATCTCAGCCCTTCAAGTAGCTAGGATTATAGGCATGAGCCACTGCTCCTGGAAGTAAGCTGCTTTCTTTAGGGTAAGTTGGCTAAGAAGGGAAATTGCTAGATGAAAGAATATGATGACAGTAAATGCTTTTTATACATATGGCTAACTGGATCCCTTAATATATTGTAATCCATCCCCAGTATAAGTATATGACATTGTTTTTATAAGTTATATACATGCTACTATTCCATTATTTTATGTAGGTGGCCTTCCATGTTCCAGGGTTCTGCATCTACAGAGTCAGCTACTTGCTGAGGGAGGGCAGTAAGCAATTTGCTGGCCCATATCTAAACATAATATCACAGTATGCAGTTATTGAGGGAATTAAATGACGCAACATACATGTACATAAATTAAGTAGGAAAGTGCAGGGTGCAGAGTAATTCCTCAATAAACGTTATACACACTTCTTCTTGCATCTCAGGGATAACCATAGAAACATTTAAAGAAAAAGAAAGGCAACTGCAAAATATAGTACACTGAAAAAAAATTTCCACAATAGAAACCATTCACACTTATGGCAATAAACAAAAGAAGCTTTGAAAATCTTTTTGCTTTTACAGAAAGCATCTGAGCCTTTCAGATGAAATCATATATAAAGAAAATAGAAAAGCACCATTTGCATGTAAATAGAAACTCTCCCAAGAAAATGATCTAAACTTTTGCTTGCAAGCTTTCTGATTCCAACTCTCTTCTGGTGAGTTCCACTTGTTTTCATGTGACCCAGTGCTTTTGCTGATCGAGCTGAGATAGGCATTTGCACCAGGAGTGGTGCTCCATCTGACTGGCGTCTTGCTGAGGGAGGGCAGGAAGTGGATGAATCTTGCTCAGCTGCCTCCCCTGTGCGTCCTCACCATATGCTGACAGGGAGGGCTTGGCTGGTGGAATTACCTCATTTGACACAGAGATGATTTAGCTGTGTTTTCTCCTAACAACACTCTGCTGCTGCTGGCCCAGCAGCTTCTCACATCAGAATCCAACACTGACAACAAAAGCAAGTAGCTGGCTGTAGGATCACCAATAGCATGACTGAGACACCAAACTGGGGTCACAGGTCATCTGGCTTTTAGAGAGTCTCTACAAGAAGTTATAAAGTGGATTGACTCCCTGAACCCCACCCAGAAGCTACTCAAATTTGGTTCCAGAAATCTGTATTTTTTTTTTGAGTGTTCTCCAGGTGATCCTGATGTGTGAATCACTATAGAAATCTCAGAGCTACTGCAAACAATTCCTTTTACAGCTGTGGCTCAGTTAGCTTAAGAAACTTTGTGATCCTTCATTTGACAGTATTTACTGAATGCCTGGTAAATAATTGCTGGTTGCATTAAATGCTAAGAAAATGAATAGTGCATGTTAGAGAATAACAGGGAGAACTACACATTGAAAGGAAAGTCAGGGAGGGCCCTTTGTCAGTTGAGCTCAACCAGGTGAAAAGCAGAGAAGGAACAGCAAGTGCCATGTCTTACAGGCAGGCAATGTCTTCCAATGTTGTGGGGATTTGGCCTGAGATTCCCATGACTGTGCAAGGAGGACGTTGAGGCAGGGAGGTAGGCAGGGGCCAGACCAGGCCTTTATGCCTTGGGTAAGTTGGATTTCATTCTAAGTCTCACTGGGAATCAGTGGAGGATTTTAAGCAGAGCATGACATGATTTATACTCCTGGAAGGTCACTTTGGCTGCTGGATGGAAAACAGATTATAAGAGCTAGGGATCAGGCAAGAATAAAATTAGGAGATGCTGAGCACTAGTGGCTCATGCCTGTAATCCTAGCTACTGAGGAGGCAGAGATCAGGAGGATCGTGGTTTGAAGACAGCCCTGGGCAAAGAGTTTGCAAGACCCTATCTTGAAAAAATCCAACACACAAGATGGGCTGACAGAGTGGCTCAAGTGGTAAGAGTGCCTACCTAGCAAGCATGAGGCCCTGAGTTCAAACGCCAGCATGGCCAAAAGAGAAAAAAAGAGATAAGTAAAGACTCTAGTATTTTTGACAGCTCTCAATAATTAGGGCAGTTCAGTGATTGGATAATATCAGTGGTCCCCAGGCACTTTGCTGTGTCAGTCACAAATAAAGCTTAAAAAAAAGTTGGCAAATCTGTAATGTTTTTTTCTAGAGCTCTAATCTTTAATGATTGCAGAATTTTGCCACACACACACCCATCTCTCATCCCGCCAGAAAGAAGTACACCAAACTTTAAAAATATAGAGAGGGAAATGGAGAGAAAGGGGGAGAGGAAAGGAGGAAGATGAGGAGAGACAGAAGCCCCATGCCAAAGAAAAATAATTTCTAGTTAATCTCTACAACTGAGAAATTCTAATAAATATTTTCAAATAAACTGCAAAAAGGTTACATGGATGGTGATTCATCCCTGGTAAGAGAGGAATATTAATTAACTAATATGAGTTACATATATTGTATAGAAAGATAACACATATACATTAAGTAGTTTGGGAAATTAACAAATGCATTAAGTAGTTTGGGAAAGATACAGCAGAAATGGAGACTGATCACAGGGAGTGAGGGGAAGGTGGTGTAGGACAGATTTGAGAAACTCTTCCACAGAACAGCTCTTCGGAAGGTAGCTATGCTCACCCCTATACCACCAACACCGCACTGAGTAGTCTGGTATTTTGAAAAAATGATGACAATTTTTCTATGATGTGAGCCTATAGATTTCCTCCTTTTTGATCAATGTGAACTAATTGTGTTTTGTTTTTGTTTTGTGCGTATGTGACTTGCTGCCTGAAAAAGTCTCAATTCCCTCTCCTACTCAAGTCCCATCTGTGACTTCCTTTGGTCCCAGGGTAAGTCCAGCCTTCCTGACCTGGTATTCAGGACTTGTGCTTGCTTCTTTTTCCAGATGTGTTTCTCCTCCATCTTTCTATTCCAACTACAGTCAACTTGAGGAGTCTCGGGTGAAGCTCTGTCTGTCTCTTCTACTTTCAACTCATCTTTCAAATGGCTCTGAAGTCTCCTCCTCTAGGAAGCCCTCTCGATCTTGAACACCAGGCTTTGTGTTCTTCTGTGCTAGGTGAGAACTGGACACCTTTCCCAGGGTATGGTCATTGTCTGTTCACTGGCCAGTCTTCCCTTTAAGGACTGTAACATTGTAAGAGCAAGGATGGCCTTATTTATCATTGTTATCAGTGGGACCTCACACTGGGCTCAGAGCCAGAATTTTTTGCCTGCTAATCTCTAACTTTTTTTAACTATTGAAATATCTAAATTGTTTCACAAAATGGAAGGTATTTCAAAACATCTGAAATCTGCTTCATTTGGCCTTCATCCTTAAAAACTTGAAGTCACTAAAGCAAGACTTGTTCAAAGACAAGACTTGGGAGTCAGACAATCTGGATATAATCCAGGCCGTGCATTGACTATGAAGTTCTATGTTCCCTCCCTGCCTTGTTTACTCCAGTGAGTAAGGGAAAAGCAGTTTTATTCAGTGGTTAGACTCAGAGGCTGAGGTTTCAGCATGTCCCCTTTAAATACCAATTCTGTCCTGTGTCATTTGGGATAAGTCAACTTCTCTTTCTTCAATTACTAATCAGTAAACATGAGATAATAACCATGATTACTTGATAGGATGTTTGGCAAGCATAAGCCATATGTAAACTCTTAATGAATATTAGCTATTCTTATGCTTTCATAGATAAGTTGTGTTATTTTCTTTTGCCTAGGAAGTGCCTGAGAGCTAACAAATATTCATTCAAAACTGAAAAGGAATAGCTTTTGTATTTTACTATTTCTAAAGCAGCACATATAAGACTGTACAAAAATGCTTGAAACCTAATAATTTATGAAACGTCCTGATGGCAAGAGGAAGCATTACTTTCTTGGATCAATTTATTTTGTTTGTTTGTTTATTTTTGCAATACTGAAGATCAAATTTAGGGCCTCGCACTTGC